CGTTCGCTTGTTATCCGGACGATTAACTAGCCGTTTGTCAAACGGTTAAAAAATGTGACCGTTGGACGTCTCTCATCCAGACGTCCGGAAGACCTCATCCGAACGTCCGGATGTGCCTTATATTTTCTCATCAAATTTTCCTTTTTCGTGAAAAAATTCTTTTAAGGTATTTTAACGGTTTTCTTATATACTTCATATAGATAAGTAATTTCATAAAGGTTTAATTATGAAAATCAAATTACTTATCTTTTGAAAATGATTTTTATGTAAGTAAAGTTTGTCATGATAATTTCCGTGCATAAAAATTGTTTGAGCTATAATCGATGCGAAATATTAAAGTGTTTTACATTTACATTTGAGTATACAAATGCACCTATAGCTAATGTCTTCAATTTCTTCATCAATGCAGTTTGGTGCGTGAAGGCTCGTTTTCCATTTCCTTATTCGTAAATCTTGTGTGTATATCATTTTGCATCAAGGTTGCATGATTCCCGATCTTTCGTGTCATAAATTTGCAATAATCACTATCAATCATTTAAATTTAATTTGTTAGAATCAAATGCAATTTATTTGTAATAATCAAAACAAGAAGTCAACCATTAGGTCAATAACTTGTGTCGTTCTGTCAATAAACATGAGTATACTAGCCACAACTCATCCATGCCTCGAGAATCAATAAGTTGAACTCATTTTGATTGCAATATTAACATTTTGTTTACAAAAGTTGAGAGATGTGCTCATTGATTATATTTTCCAACGAATCAATACAATGATTAGCGATTTCACCAACTCAATGTTGTATAATCTATATCAATTCGATCGTTCTTTGTCACTTGATCAACCTTTCTAACTTTTTTAAGTTAGGGGATCCATGTTTGAGATCGCTGCGTTGGAAAAGAAGCAAAATATTTGAGAAATTAATAGAACGACACACGAGCTGTTAAACGACACTTGTGTCGTTCTATCTTTAAACACGAGTATACGTAGCCACGATCCATCCATGCCCCAAGAATCAATAAGTTGAACTCATTTTGATTGCAATATTAACATTTTGTTTACAGAAGTCGAGAGATGTGCTCATTGATTATATTTTCTAACGAATCAATATAATGACGTGATTTCACCAACTCAATATTGTATAACCCGTGTCAATTCGACCGTTCTTTGTCATGTGATCAACCTTTCTAACTTTTTTAAGTTAGGGGATCCATGTTTGAGGCCGCTGCATTGGAAAAGAAACAAAATATTTGAGAAATTAACAGAACGACACAAGAGTTGTTAAATGACACTTGTGTCGTTTTATCTTTAAACATGAGTATATATAGTCACGACCCATCCATGTCCCCAGAATCAATAGGTTGAACTCATTTCGATTGCAATATTAACATTTTGTTTACAAAAGTTGAGAGATGTGCTCATCAATTATATTTTCTAATGAATCAATACAATGATTAGCGATTTCACCAACTCAATGTTGTATAATCTATGTCAATTCGACTGTTCTTTGTTACGTGATCAACATTTCTAATTTTTTTAAGTTAGGAGATCCATATTTGAGGTCACTGTGTTGAAAACGAAGCAAAATATTAGAAGTTCTGTCTATAAACACGATTATACATAGCCATGATCCATCCATACCCCGAGAATCAATAAGTTGAACTCATTTCAATTGCAATATGAACATTCCGTTTGCAACAGTTGAGAGATGTACTCATTGATTATATTTTCTACTGAATCAATACAATGACTTGTGATTTCACCAACTCAATGTCATATAATCTATGTCAACTCAACCGTTCTTTGTCACGTGATCAACCTTTTTAACTTTTTTGAGTTAGGGGATCCATGTTTGAGGTCGCTACGTTGAAAAAAAAAAGCAAAATATTTGAAAAATTAACAGAACGACACAAGAGTTATTAAACGACATTTGTGTCGCTCTGTCTATAAACACGATTATACGTAGCCACGACCCATCCATACCCCAAGAATCAATAAGTTGAACTCATTTTAATTGTAGTATGAACATTTCGTTTACAAAAGTAGAGATATGTGCTCATTGATTATATTTTCTAATGAATTAATACAATGACTAGCGATTTCACCAACTCAATGTTGTATAATCTATGTCAATTCGACCGTTCTTTGTTATGTGATCAACCTTTTTAACTTTCTTAAGTTAGAGGATCCATTTTTGAGGTCGCTGCATTGGGAAAAGAAGGAAAATATTTGAAAAATCAACAAAACGACACAAGAGCTGTTCAACGACACTTGTGTCGTTCTGCCTATAAACACGAGTATACGTAACCACGACCCATCCATGCCCGAAAATCAATAAGTTGAACTCATTTAGATTGCAGTATTAATATTTTGTTTACAAAAGTTGAGAGATGTGCTCATTGATTATTTTTTCTAACGAAAAAATATAATGACTAGCGATTTCATCAACTCAATGTTGTATAATCTATATTAATTCAACTGTTCTTTGTCATATGATCAACCTTTCTAACTTTCTTAAGTTAGGGAATCCATGTTTGAGATCGTTGTGTTGAAAAAGAAGCAAAATATTTGAGAAATCAACAGAACGACACAAGAGCTATTAAACGACACTTGTGTCGTTCTGTCTATAAACACGAGTATATTAGCCACGACCCATCCATGCCTCCCGAGAATTAATAAGTTGAACTCACTTCAATTACAATATGAACATTCTGTTTACTAGAGTTGAGAGATGTGCTCATTGATTATATTTTTTAATGAATTAATACAATAATTTGTAAATTCACCAACTCAATGTCGTATAATCTATGTCAATTCAATCGTTCTTTATCTCATGATCAACATTTCTAACTATCTTAAGTTAGAAGATTTAATATTTGAGGTTGCGTTTTGGAAAAGTAACAAAATATTTGAGAAATCAACAGAACGACATAGTAGCTGTTAAACAACACTTGTGTTGTTCTGTCTATAAACATGAGTATACATAGCCACGATCCATCCATGCTTAGAGAACCAATAAGTTAAACTCATTTAAGTTGTAAGTTGGACATGATATTTGTAAAGTTGAGAAATATGATCATTAATTATATTATAATGAACTAGTAGAATAACTTATATTTTTATCAAATCAATATCATATGATCCAATCATTTAAATCATTCTCTGTTACATGATTAACCTTTCTATCTTACGCACGTTAGTGGTTCGAATGCTTGAAGTCTTGAGTTAAAAATAAATCAAAATATAGAAGAAATCAACAGAATGGCATAAGTGCCATTACTGAGAAGAAAACGACCCATGGGCCGTTCTGTTTGTAAACACGATTATAAAACGGCCACGTCCTGCTCACGACTCCAAGATTCAATAAGTTGAACTCATTTAGGTTGTAAGATGAGCATGATATTTACAAAAGCCAAGAGATATGCTTATTATTTATATTTTAATTAACCAGTAGAATAACTTATGCGTTCACCAACTTGATATCACATGATCTATGTCATTTCAATCGTTCTTTATCATGTGAATAATATTTTCATTTTCTTTACGTTAGATGGTCCAATGCTTGATGTCTTTGTCTTGAAAATAAATCAAAATATTGGAGAATTCAACGGAACGACATAAGTTCCTTTATTGAGAAGAAAACGACCATTGTATCGTTCTATTTGTAAACACGAATACAAGCAGTCACGTCCCATTCGTATCTCAATAAATAATAAGTGAAACTTGTTTACATTGTAATATGCACATGAAATGTACAAAAGTTAAGCAATATGTTCATTAAATTAATCGACACATATGAGTAGGATAACTTGTGCTTTTACTATTTCGATAAAATAAAAGCTATGTCATTTCGACCGTTCTTTATGATATTGTCAACCTTTCTATGTTTCATACATTATAGCGTCCGTTATTAGAGGTTATTTAATTGAAAAAGATTAAATATAGGTAAAAACTTTTGAACAGTACAACTGTTGTTACTGGACATAAAAACGACACATATACTGTTACATGTGTAAACACAACTATAAGTAGTCATGATCCACATGTGTCCCTAAAAAATAATAAGTTTTACTTATTTATGTTGTGATATGCGCATGACATGTACAAAAGTTGATAGATATGCTTATTAATTTAATCAACACATATGAGTAGGACAACTTGTGATTTCACCATCTCGATAATATAAAAGTTATGTCATTTCAATTTTTGCTTGTGACATAGTCAATTTTTCGGTGTTACATACGTCAGTAGTTCATTATTAGAGATTGTTTTGTTGAAAAAAAATCAAATCACAGTAGATAACGACTGTAGTGTCGTTTAACGCAACGAAAAACGACTGAAGTGACATTTTACATTTTGGATAACAGTTGGAGTGTCATTACCGTCCAATAGTTGCAGAAAACGCAAAAAAAAACATAACCAGTATAAAAACAACACCAACTTAAATATTATTCAATAATAAATGTATAATTTATATAAGATTTCTAAAATTATCTTTCTTTTTTCTTCAAATCTAAATGGGACTTTTCAATATAAATGATAAATGTTCAAAAGATATCCAAATATAATGAAGAATATGATTTTAAAGTAGCAAGAATGGTTGAAAAAAAGAAATCGAGTTACTATGATTTTGGAGACCAAAAATTGAATTGAGGAATTTAATTGGTTTGATAAGGGTGTTAGGGTCTTTTTCAATAGTGAGGGTATTTATGACATTTGACATTATTTGTTTATTGTGCTTAATAATTGAAGGCTATTTGTTCAAAAAACATTGAAAGGAGGTTATTTAACCAATAACATTGTTTCACTAGGCTCTTTAACAAATTCCCCCTAAAATTAAAGGAAAAATCTGTATTAATTAAATTAATAATTTGTAATTAGCACCTGATTAATGAATTTTAAACCTAGCCCCTTGTTTTGAATTGTATACTTGAGATGTAGGTTGTTGGGTAATTTTCCCAAACATAATTATTAGATCCGTTTTCAGTTTCGTTTAGAATTTTTTCCGTTCTTATTTTATTTAACAAATTCTAAAAAAAAATAATTTAAAAGGGTTGAAAATTTAGTTGTGATAAGTGATAACATTTTTCTGAATCGAACAGTTACAGTACAATACGATGCAAGAAAGCTTCACCAGATTCACACTCCTTTGTTCTCAACCAATGCAGTTAACAAATTCTCCCCAAATGATCTGAATTTTCAGCTTTTCCTTAATCGAATCTGTTTACAAATTCGTAATCAAACGCCATGAAGCAATTGCAAAGGCAATCAGGAACACGAAGAGATGAAGATATTCCCATATCCCAAACCTCACTTTACTCTCCTAAAGCCTTGAAACACCCCAAATCCCTCTCCAGATCCATCAGTTATCTCCTCAAAGAACAGCGCCTTCTGTTTATTCTTGTGGGTATTCTCATTGGCTCCACCTTCTTCATTCTCCAGCCTTCCCTCTACGACCTTTCATCGGGAACTCACAATCACCTGATTGCCAGATCGAATTCATTTGCTGGGAATCGTGAGTCAATTACTTACTATGATCACAATGGGGTGATGGAAACTAACAGTGTCGAGAATAAGAATAATTATAAGTACCATAATGGGGGGAGAGTGCCGGTGGGGATAGGAAGGAAGCGGAAGAGGATTGTGGTGACTGGCGGGGCCGGGTTCGTTGGCAGTCATTTGGTGGATAAGTTGATTGCTAGAGGCGATGATGTGATTGTCATTGATAATTTTTTCACTGGAAGGAAAGAGAATGTGGTGCATTTGTTCGGGAATCCGAGGTTCGAGCTGATAAGGCATGACGTTGTAGAGCCAATTTTATTGGAGGTCGATCAGATCTACCACTTGGCTTGCCCTGCTTCTCCGGTTCATTACAAGTATAACCCCGTCAAGAATATTATATCCTTAAACCTATGGTTCTTATGAATAATAATCATTATCACCTGTCACTGGCACACACTTACTGTTTTTATGTGTTTGGGCGTGCAGAGTATGAATAATTGCGTTAATGGTTATTCCATAAAAAGATACTTTATTAGCGCATGAAGGTGAATCTATATGTATGCTGAATATGAATTTAGGTTTTCTGTGCATGCATGAATGTATATATAATTTTTAGGTTGTTTTACTGCCATGGTTTGGCATCATATAATTAAATTGGTTCTCTGTGTGTACACAAATGCAAGTTAGGCTGCTTTCTTGTGCGCGCTTGTGGGCATGATAAGTTTCTCTTATTGTTATACTTACACATGTCAATTTTAATATGTTTGTTGGGTTCTCGTAAGAAATTTTGGATATACACAAACGCACGCCAGCATGTACTGCGGTCATGTTATTTATCATTGGAATTTGAATTGAGATCCTTGACATGTGATCACAAGACAAATGTGATGGGTACCCTTAATATGTTGGGCCTTGCAAAAAGAATTGGTGCGAGGTTCCTTCTTACTAGTACAAGTGAGGTTTATGGTGATCCTCTTGAGCATCCACAGAAAGAGACGTACTGCGGACATGTGAATGCAATTGGTGAGTCTTGAGTGACAATCTTCTGAATTTTGATGTGTTTGTTGATTGGTAATTATTTGCTTTTGTGGGAAGCTTATGATCGATTAATTTCAAGTAACTAGGTGTACGGAGTTGCTATGATGAGGGGAAACGAACGGCTGAAACATTGACTATGGATTATCATCGTGGTGCCGGTATTGAGGTAATAAATTTACTCTGTAATATGACTTCTTGATTTTGAGCTTGCTGTCTCAACAATCTGGCTGTCGTAATATCACATCTGATGAATAAAAAGCATGGGCTTTTCCTGTTTTTCAATATTTTTTATTTGTCTTTCTTGACAAACTGAAGTCAAGATAAAAATTCTAGCCCCTCTTCTGGAAGGAAGTCTCACCCATGTACACGGAATTGCAAGCTGCTGTATATTATTGGCTATTCCGTGGTCTAATTGATGGAAAGACAGCCAAGCAGAGTGTCATGGATTTGGACTTGAATTTTGATGTATATTATCACATCTATGGGACTAAAATCTTTTTCTTGGCCACTTGATAGTAAATTTTATTCTGTTTTTACTCCTTACTGCTTCGGATTTGATCAGCCTCCAAGATCATCTTGCCATACAATAAAATAAAATAAAAATAAATAAAAAAAGTGACCTTTTGTTTCTCATATAATTTTTTTGTAGAAAAGGGTAGGATGGCTTAATTGGTGTTGCACTAGGTATTCAATTCTAGCAGGAAATCTTGTTCTGTTTTGGTTCACATTCTTCATAAATTTTCCTTGAAAGATAAGAGTATAATGTGGTTCCATTTAATAAATATAATCCTAGTGGCTTTTCTAAAAGCAAGCTGGGAATTGCTTGAAGTTCATCATGTATAAGAACAGGCTTTATTTTCAGTCGCTTATTATTTTTAATTAAGAAGTTTTGGTTTCAGTAGTCATCCAAATAATATGAGAATTCAGGAATTTTTAGTCATCATAGTTTCGACTACATCATGTCATCTCAAGATTCTAGCATGTGAATTCTAGTTGCTTGCTTAATAGCTTCTTGTTATGACACAATAACATTTGTGATGGAGATCAGTTCCTGTACCAAAATGCAGATCCCGTCTACTTGTGCGACTTGTTCCAATCTGGGTTAAGCTATTGTTATGACTAATCATCCCTCTCTTCCTATCCAGGTGCGCATTGCACGTATATTTAACACATATGGACCTCGCATGTGTCTAGATGATGGCCGTGTTGTCAGCAACTTCGTTTCACAGGTTCATCATCTCTATTGCTATTCTCGAAAAAATAATTAAGATCAATCAAGTAGTTACACTATTAGATAACCTTTATAGGGGTCTTATATCCATAAGAGATTCTTATTACTGCTGCTATGTTGTGCAGGTTATACGTAAGCAACCTATGACAGTGTATGGTGATGGAAAGCAAACAAGGAGCTTCCAATATGTTTCTGACTTGGTATGTCATGTTATTATTTTAAAACGGAATGTAATGTGCCTTGCTGGTACCACCTTAATTACTCGGGGGCCTCTTTTTTATAACAATGCAAGTCTGCTTTAACTGGGAATACTCTTGTCCGAGAAAGGTAGCAGAAATCATGCATTGCCTAGCTGGTAACTAGTCTTTGGTCAGGTGGTGTTGCACATGCCCACGTGATTGGTTGAATCTTAATTAGATCTAATTATTTATTAAATTTCTGAGTTGCGATGAAACATGACTTCTGAGGATGAGAGCTAAATTATTTTAGGCATCTGTGGGATGAAAATTATGCAGAGTTGCTATAGGCTTTTGCTTCAACATTAATATATCTTGCAATGTACTTGAATATTCAAACGAGCAGTTAATTGGGCCAAATTGTACCTTCTTCAATCTCTCCCCTCATGTGTCTTATATCCTATGAGTCTACATACGCAGACACAAACTTCTCATAGAATTGAGTTTATTTTGGGTGATGATATTAATGATTATTTTCAGAAGCTGTACTGCAAAAATCAGAAGGTTGGCAATATTCACTTTGCATGAATAAATGATGTTAACAATGGTACCATATGTATTTTCCTGATGGCAGGTTGATGGACTAGTGGCATTGATGGAAAACGAGCACGTGGGGCCATTTAACTTGGGTAACCCGGGAGAATTCACTATGTTAGAGCTTGCAGAGGTTTGTCCTACATAAATGTTTGATCTCCATTGTAGGTACTGGTCTGGATGCACGAGTAAGCTTATTTCACCCTGAAATAACAGGTTGTGAAAGAAACCATTGATCCAGGTGCAAAGATTGAATTCAAACCTAACACTGCCGACGATCCTCATAAGCGGAAGCCAGATATCAGTAAAGCAAAGGAGCTTCTGAACTGGGAGCCGAAGATTTCCTTGCACAAGGGTTTGCCTCTCATGGTCACTGATTTTCAAAATCGCATCTTGAACGAAGATGAAGGGAAGGGAAACAAATAAGAACACGGCATAAATAACATGTATAGAATGAGAACGTGTTGTGTATGTTTTTTTTATTCATTTTTCATATTGCATTGGTATCTTTATTTTTATTTTTTTTTACTTCTTTGAAATCTTAGAAATATGCCACCCCATAACAAGTGGCTATACCTTACCCACTGTAAGAACTGATAATTTGTCTTTAATATGAATACGGTTTTGGGCAAGTAGTATTATGGTGTATTCATCAGAACAGGTTAGAATCTTCATATATGTTGAATCTTTGTTAAGCTTTTTTCCGGCTACTTTTCCTTTGAGTTCAAACATTTTGATGAGTTTTACTCTTGGACTCGTCAATATTTGTAGGTTTAATTTAAAATATTGTTCAATCTTACACACCAAATTTGTTATATCAGAATATAAAGCGAACGCACTTTGTGATGCAAATCAAACCTTGTTACCTACATTATAATCAATTCCAATGTTGACTCATTTTCAAGATTTGTTTCTCTCAAGAGTTTGATAGAATATAAACATTACGTAAAACATCTCCCCTCTTTATTTCCTAACTCTAATATGAATAATGATATCAGTGAATGTTACATAGTGATGCTACCAAAAAATCGTACCTGATATATCTCGAACTGAATGTTGAACTCCGAACTTAGATGAACACAAACGGTCTTCTAATACCTGAAACAAAGGCAACGAGGTGTGTTCTCGTCGTCCCTCTGATGCTCAAGTCAGAAAGAGAATTTAGTGTGTAAGGCTATGAATTTGATAATAAAGAGAACGTACCTGAATAATAGGCCTTGTTTCATGTGTTTATAGACGTTGGTGGTAGAGTCATAGAAGAATTAAATCACGTATGATCCTTATCCTCATAGGGTAACGTATTTGTGTTGCAACTGAAGTGTTGTATTTTAGTTTGAGTTAAAATGCTATGAGCCAATAATAACATGTTTAAAGAGAACTAGGAACTATGGTTTAATTAGAGCTAGTACTTCCCTAGGTCGCTGGGAAGGATAGAATCAAGGGGTCTTAAGCCTGACACCGACAAAGGGTACAAGCTCGACCTAAAGACCCTGACCTCAGATCTTACAGTTTTGGGGAAAGTTGAGGTCGGGCCAAATAGGTCGAGTTCGAGTGTTATTAGGTTTTGGGGATCATCACATAGTATTTTCATCAGAGCAAACACATGGTGGGCACAAGAAGTCACATTTTTAGACAGATCGACTTGAACTTGTGACGAGCTTGAACCGAGTCTAGATGAAGTCGGGTCAGTCTGAGTGGGTCCATTTGACCATCTTGCTTCTCAAAGTACACTGCACTCCTTTGTTCACCATCTATGGAACTCTTCTGCCCCATCTCTTCATTCTAATACCTCAACCTTAACATCTCAATTCTCACACCAATAATCTTCCCTTCATCTCTCTCTATCCTTTTACATTGTAAAAAAATTGAAGGAGGAGATCTATTCTGTGCATCTCAAGTTGCAACATTCGTATGTTCAAGTAGTATGGAAGAAGCCTTATCTTCTTCTTCGATCAATCACCTTGGCCTGGGGAGTGTCGAAGCCACAGACCGGTACAATCCCATCGTCAAAGACTCGAGAATTTCCAGCAGCCACCTATTAGACCCAAGCCATGCAAAAAAACACCACAAGAAGAACCTGAAGAACTCTTTAGAGGAGAATGCTGAAGAAAAGAAGTACTTGAAACCAAATGATCATAATATAAAAAGTAGTAGTTTGGAGAACTCTTTAGAGGAGAATGCTGAAGAAGAAAAGAAGAAGTGCTTGAAGCCAAATGATCAGAAAATAAAAAGCTGTAATTTGGAAACAAATGATGATAATAAGTGTTACGCCTCTATCTGAACCGCCTCGGAATGCCCACCACCACACATTTCGACCTGATAGACACCCATCCGAAGTGTTTCCGAAGTGATCTCACCATCAGAGAAGTCAAAGACCCCAAGTGGTTAGCCAGTTTATGGCTCAACCTCGAGTTGTGAACTGACCGAAGCACCCTCGCCCCTGAGGCCGAGGCGAAGTGGACCTCTGTCAGAAGATCCGCCACCAATTTCAGAAAGTGATTTTTGCCAAGATCTTCTCTGCACCTAAGGTTTAAATTGATTTGACGTCTCCATGAGGCTAGTTGATGTGAGTTATCAACTTTATGTCAACTCAACTCGGGAGAAACAAACTGTCCGCCCACTCTACAGACGCGGCTGATTGACGCCTATGAGCGGACGCCTCATACCGTCAGACGTATACACGTGTCCCACATCCAACGGTTCATCCCACCTATAAATACCCAAGGTTTAGCAAGAGGCAAAGATAATGAAACTCTTACTACATAGCACTCCATAGCAAGTTTATATATTTTCTCCTCCCCCTTAGTGTTTTTGGCACAACCTCTTGGTATTGTTCCGATCACCCGAACCTGACTTGACCGTCGGAGTGTATACGGCCGCCACCATCCTTGTTGGTCCCGATCGTGTGCGTTTGTCCGTGCGTTGATTGTGCACAGGGAAGAATACGTGGAGTAGCTATCGGTTGGCCACGTGGAATGTCCAATTTTCGAGGTCAACAAATTGACGTCGTCTGTGGGAAACACTTCCCGTTTAAAGTTCTGCATTCTCCACCAGAGAAGTTACCGAAAAACTAGCGACTAACCCTGAAAAGGGCACGTTCTTGAAAAAGAACAAAGTCGAGTTACAATCCAAGTTCTCACCACCCTTGTAAAAGGAGATAGAATGAGCTATAGTCATGAAGACGACAATCCCATGAGAGAGACTTCTGAAAAAGAGGTGCTCCATAACAATGTTACTCATCAGAGACCCCATCACCGGAGGCGCCGAGGTGGAAGAACAGCCATGCTCACTGAAGGAATGACTCAAATAGCTGCGGGTATGAAAGACATCGCAGCTCAGAATATGGCAATGCATGAACTCCTTATGTGAGCCCGAGGTCACTCGGGCTCTCAAATGCCCCAAGGATCTTACCCAGTGTAGGAATCCCCAGTATCTCATTCCCGAGGTCATACTAGTCAGCACAGAGAATGCCCCCTCGAAAGAGAAGTGGGCGCCGATGCCACATCTTATGTGCAAGGAAGCCAGCCATCAGAACCCCACTTGGGGGATAACTTCCCTCAAGAATATGAAGAACAGAGATCCGTAAGTGTCTTCGACTGGATAGGGGAGGATTCTAGCAATAGGGTCCGCCCAGTGAGAAGATCAGTTCGATCAGATCAGGAACAAGAATATGCCCCTCCTCCTCCTAGAAATAGGAGGGACAGGAGGAACCTAGTTGATTGGGAGAGTCGAGGAGGGGCACCTCCACCTCCCAAGAACATTCAAGATGATGAAGGGTTAGATGGGCTCTGTCGATCTTAGAAGATTGACGATGATGATGATAACCTCCCTTTCTCAAGGGAGATCCGAAACTTCCCAATGCCAGCAAATTTCATGCCCTTTAAGATCCCCAAGTATAAAGGAAAGGGGGACCCGGAGAAGCACCTCACCAAATACATGACACAGATGAGCCTAAGGGGAGCCTCCCCGCTTTGAAATGCAGAGCCTTCCATTTAACACTAGGCAGAGCCGTCGAAGTGTGGTACAGCAGGCTTCTTCCCCTAAAAATTAGAAGTTGGCCAGATTTGAAGAAAGCATTCTTGAACTAATACCTCTCACACAGAGAAGGAGAGACACCAGTGCAACGCCTACAAGATATGAGGCAGGCCCCTGGGGAGATGCTGAAAAGCTATCTCGCCAGGTTTACAGACGAAATCACCTACTGTGAACATGTCACTAACAGAGAAACCCTTTCAGCCCTGAAAGGCGGGCTCAATATGAACACTTTGTTCTGGAGGGACGTGCGCAGTAAGAATCCCTCCACCTATGACGAACTGGTGGAAATGATGAGAGTGAAAATTGTGAGTGAAGAAATGATTGATCACCGAAATCGTGCAGCGCAGGGACTCCCTCGACCTCAGAGGCAGGTAGGTCGAGGACCCGCAGTACACCTTATTACTCAGCAATGGACTCAGGTAGGTCACATAATAGCTCCCACCTCTGGACAGGCACCGGCTTCTGCCACGCTAAATGCAACGCCGGTATTGGCATATGAAAATGCTCCTGGCGAAGCAGGGCCATCTGGAAGAACTGATAGCAAGAAAAAGAAGAAGAAACGATCAAACAGACCCTTGGAAGGAGCAAGGTTTTGCACTTTCCATAAACTGTATGGCATGACACCAATGAATGTAGAGACGCTCCTCGACGCTCAGACCAGACCGACCCACATCTCTCCAGAAAGAATGATCGAAGGCACAGAGAGCAGTCACCCCGGAGAAGAGAATCTCGGGACCAAGGAGAGTTCAAATAGAGAGATCAGGCCCCATTTGCTGGGGGCCAAGTTATCAGGGAAATCGACACTATCATTGGGGGACCTCACGTCGGCAGCAACATAAGAAATGCCCAAAGGAATTATACAAAGGAAGCGAAGGACCCACCAATGATCACTTACATTGTGAACGAGTTCCAAGAGCCCAACAGGATGGCCCCAATTACATTCTCCCAGGAAGATGCGCATGGAGTTCACCATCTCCATTGCGACGCACTGGTTGTGAGAGCCGTAGTGGCCAGAAATGGGTCAAATGCATGCTCGTAGACAGTGGAAGTTCGGTGAACATATTGTTCGACTCCACCTTTGACAAAATGCAGATTGAACATGGGTTGATTCCCATGACCGACCCACTATTTGGATTCAATGGAGACAGTATCATTCTACGAGGGCGGATCACTCTATCCGTCGAGATGGGTTCAGTACCCCTAGTGGCCCAATACTTCATGAAATTCTTAGTGGTGGACCACAGATCGGCCTATCATGGGGTATTGGACAGACCCGCATTGAAAGATCTTTGGGCCGTCACATCCATCCACTACTTGTGCATGAAATTTCCAACTGATCATGGGATTGTGATGGTTCGAGGCGACCAGATGGGCTCCAGGGCATGCTACTTGAACTCGCTGCGAAAGTCGGAGCCCCGAACTATTAATGTAATCATAACTAAAGTTCCCACTGAAACCAGTACAGAGGTGGAAATGCTCGATGCCCCTGAACAAGGGCATACCTCTGAGTAAGAGGAAGACGTCAACATGGAAGAGGCCCCTGAACAAGGGCACCCTCTTGATGAGTTAGATCCCCGAATAATTGACTCTGAACCAAATGCGACCCCAATGGAAG